ATGGGTGCTGAACTGGTGAATTGAGTTAAGCAGTAAAGATAAGAAAATATCTGCTTTGTGAATTCTCTCAGGCTGAATTTAAAACCACTCGTGGAAATGAGTGTTAGAACCAAGAAAACTTCATGCAACTCCGTTAACTCATTCCTTCATTTCCTTCATTCTTCTGAGCTGTATATGTGTGTGTGTGTGTATGTGTGTTTTAGCTTAGTTTTAATGTAATCTAGAATAGCCAATAAATTCGTTTTCATTTATAAAGAATCATTGTCTGGTGTCGTATAACTTTAAAGTCAAACATTGCCAAGATCCTTGCTACCTAGCTCGTAGCTTACTTATCAAGGAACGTATTATCCTGTGGCCAAGGAAAATACACAGTCAGATTAAGATACACGGACATTAATGGCTCGCTGGACGACCGTTGATAAGGTGTAAACTATTGAAATTTGAAATCAGTTCTAATCAGGTGGACGTCGAATTTTCAGATTCGAGTCCTTTCAAAACCTGAGCTAGAAATAAAATTAATGATTAATTCCCTTATAGAATTAATGAGTTAAATTCCTTACAGTACAACAGATATACTGTATGAGATATCTGCTATGTGGATTCATTGATTTATACAGTACTTGGTCATTTTGGGATTGACATCAGTAGCAGTAACAGAAATTTTCCTTCCTCCTCTATCTGTTCCTGAATAGCAGCTTTCAAAATAGATAAGAGTAATAGAAATGTAATACTTTTATTCATCAAGGACACATTCAATTGTTTAAAAGTGGCAAAGACTTTCACATTGTTACAAAAATATATGTTATTATTTTGAAATTTCTGTTCTTCCAAGAATCCTCAGGGAAAAAAAATCAAAGAAATATTAAGCAGCGTAACACAGCATTTGATTCCTTTGGTTTAAGTTGCATTATATTGTAAATCACTGAGCAAATTCCTCTGAGTAAAGCCTTTCGTTTTTATCATCTCTATAATGCAGTTTTTAATCTTTGTGTATTTTTTTGTGTGTGTGTTTTTATCTACTAGGTATGACATGTGGGGGCGAGCTGTCATTCACCCTGGAGCCCAGTGACATTATTGCTGTTCAGGAACAACCTCTGATGCTGCACTGTCAGGTGGAGGGGATCCCACCCATCACCACACAGTGGAGGCGCAAGGGAGCTCTGATAGTGGAGGACCAAAACTATGTCATGTTTGCTAATGGCTCGCTTCTGATTGGTCACTTCCAGAAGACCAAGTCTGACGGCTCATCTGATGAGGGAGACTATGAGTGCATAGCCCAAAATTTCTTTGGGTTGGTCTTGAGCCGCAAAGCCAGAGTTCAGGCTGCTAGTAAGTAGCATTTCAATGTGTTTTAATTCTGAGAAAAAACCTTGCTCAGTCATACTCCACTAATCCCACCTGTTCATTTTTTCAAAGGCTTTTTAATGGTGAATTTAATGGCTTTTTCAGCTACAGTTATATTAAATTACATTATATATTTCTCTGCGATGTTTTTATTAAACAGAACTTAGTTACATAACAACACTTAATATTATAATAATTGTAATAACTAACATCATAATAAAGAAGTAATAACATAAGAAAAAAATAAAACTTGCAGCTTTTTCTGTAAATCAAAAATCAGATGGTGTTAACATTACCATCTTAACACTTTCCATCAAGGAAAGTCCAAGGACAAAATATTATTATATTACATGACATTGTATTATATTATGTTAGTATAAATTTGTTGTGTTGGTGTAAAAAAACATTTCAGGTTAAAGTATTATTGGTGTCGTTGTTTCACCCTTGGATGAGTCTCCGCCTCAAATGGGCCACCCCAGTGAAAAATGTCTAGATACGCCACTGCCAGCAGATACTGGTGCTGTTAGATTGTCCCGAGAAGCTAAAGTGAGTTTGATAGAAGCCACTGCCAGCTCATTTGCAGTGCGCTTTGGGTCTTTCACAGAGCGCGCCGTGTTCGAGCACGGCGTGGCGTAGACTCAGGCTACATTAACTTTGGATGAACTGAACATGAGGGACACAGGGGGCTGGGACAGGCCATTTGATATATGGGCAATGGACTCCTTCTATTTCTGAAGATAAATTGGCTTGTAGGATTCAGTCTGCCTTTTGTGCGCTGCTGTGGCACTCCCGGTCGTGCTTGTGTTGTGATTTATATTACTAAATCTCTGGCTCTTCTATTGAACTTAACTATTAAACCCGGCCATGCTGTGTGCTTTCTGCGCCGCTTTTGTCGGCATCACAATAATCTGGAGTGCTGTTAGTTGCCCACTTGCTGGTCACAGGCACCAAGGCTAAATTTGCTTTTCTAGTCGTCCATACCCACCGTGGCCCCGTATGAATCGGGCCTTGTTTCCGTCCAGTGCTGAAACTTTGTTACTGTATTGTGCTTATGATTGGATTTTCATAAACTCAGCATGTGTTTATGGCAACTAAAGATGACTTATTATCATTTGTCCGCTCTCATGCCGTCCAAAATGTGATTGATCTTTTCATACAGATGCTGGCTAAATATAAAGGGCATAAGAAGAAAGAAAACAGAGAAGGGCCTTATGGAGAGTTCTTTATGTTCTCTTTAGCGGTTAGCGGGAGGTAGTTGTGTCGGTGTGGTTGTAAATAGTAGCCGAGGGGAGAGCAGAGTTGGTCATTAAATGGATGTCAGGCAAGTGTTAATTTGAAAGCGCATGGTGGTGTTAATGTGAAACTGTGATTTTGTGATTATGTGAGGAATTCAGGGTCTCTTGCTGTTATCATATGGTGCTTCAGAGAGAATAAGCTCTTAGCAATCAGGTCCTTTCCCATCAACTTCACACAATCAGGACTTACAGTAACTTATTACCATTCACTCATGAGATTTTTTTTCCCCTACGCTAAAGAGTTTTGTCACTACTTTGTTTTATCATATGTATTTGTATTTATTTAAATATAAATATATGTATACCTTTATAAATATTTATATTTGTGTAAATAATTACGTAATTAAAATATATAAAATAAATGCATACAGTATATAAATTATTTATATAATATAAAGTAAATAAATATATGCCTCTATTTTTTGCTTTCCTACCAGGTCAGTTTCATATATTTTTTTATTTAATTATTTATATAAATATATTTATATATATTTTATGATAACAGAAAGTAGCAGTGATTATATTTATTTATACTATATTTTATAATAACACAAAGTAGTACTGGATATTTTTCTTGGGGAAATATTTTCTGGTTTTCTCCCAGGTCAGTTTCATATTTTATATAAACATTTATTTATCATTTGTTATGTTATAGGAAATAATAATTTAGTAATGTACAAAGCGTGCGTTCCATTTATTGATCCTGAGTTTAATTTATTGCCAGCATGTGAACAAAATGAACACATGAATCCATAGCATACATTGTCTGAATGGACAGTTTGCAGAGATGTTGAGCTCTGTGTGTAATGCAGTGTGGTCAGTGATGACGCCTAATTTAACATCTCGACCACATCATACGTGTGCAATTGATTCTGTAGAGCAAAACAGTGTCTGCAGACATGTAGCTATGTGGCTGTATTGTTTAACACAGAGACATCTCCGCCTGCGATCTTGTCACACATATACACACACACACACACGGGCAACCCATGCTGTGCCATATCTGAACACAGCAGTCCGTTTGTTGGCCTTGCAGTGAGGTGTGAGTGTGATGTGAAGATCGTTGACTTATGAGTGCACACACACATGGTGAAGTGAGACTGACACACTGTGTGTAGACGGTGCACTGCTGTGTTGTGGTACATACTCTGGCTTCGCTCCCAGTGAGCCAGTGGTTACTGGCTAGCCTCTGAAGTTACGCTGCCTCTGCCACGCCACAGGGAACAGTCAGCTCGGCTCACTGGACAGGGGAACCTTTAAACCCACGCTCTCCGGGACGCTGATTGGTAAAGGTCAACGCATAGTTAATTTTTAGCACCTTTTTCGATTTCTCATCAGGGCCAGAAAGGAGTATGTGTGCTTTCTGCATAAATTACGGGTGAACAATAGCTGGGAGATAGAGTGGGATGCAAATAATAGCATAGGAGATGGAGATCTATTGTCGCACTGAATGATTGGCAAGCAGAGCTGGGTGGACAAGCATAATGAAAAGCACTGAAAATTCTTGGCTGAAGCCGAAGCCGAACAAAATGAAACACTGGGCCGAAGGCCGAATACCGAACACGGGTTTTTCACATTTTTCCCCCATGTAGGCCTATTTTGCCATTGTTTTTTTTCACCATTGCATTAAGTAAATTGCCAAAATGTGCTTTTTACTGTTTTGTCCTGCTGTTCAAATAAAAAATCAATTACAAAACAACAATTTAAAAATATTTACTTAACACTGAACATTTTTTTTTTCATTCTAGCAGACATTATACCAACAAAGCACAATTTAACTTAAAATTAATAAGTTGCTGAGCAGAAAAGACTTCTTTTAAAACATTAGAATATATTACAGATGCCAATTTGAACACTATGTGTGAATGTTATAGGCCTAATAAATGTATTAATAGAGCTGTTGTAGGGTAATTATTATTATCATTATTATTGTCTTTTTTATTTTATTTTACAGAACGACAGTAAAATTACAATACTATCATTTATGAATGTCGATGGAGTTGTTGCTTTTTTCAACAAGTTCAGCGCAGATTTTCCTCGCTCTTTGGACTTTGAACCCTGGCGCCACGAGCTCGTGCCGCGCTATCAGAATACATGCAATTCGTGCGTGCATTAGAAAATATAACATTCTGCAGTTTATTTACTAATCGTTTAAAGGTAATTTCGCGATTTCAATCATCATACAGTAACCTAACCACCAGCATTAGCCACCTCTTCTCATCGTAGACGTGATGCAGCACTAAACAGTCTCTTGCTGTCGGTGCTTCGTGCATGTAATGATTTCTGCGTCTTTCTCTGATAGTTTTAAATACATTCACACTGCCGACATGTTTGCTGCATTAGTGCGTGCCTCTATTTGATCGCGTTAGTCATTGTTCGGTACATATTATTCTGCCTTTTTGCTTATTCGGCCGAACACCGAAAGAGATTTTTTTTGCTATTTTCGGCCGAATAATTTCGGTTGCCGAATATTCGGTGCATCCCTATTATCTGGCAGAATGTTTTCTTTATTGTTTTCATACAATTGATGTGATGCATTAGCTATAGGTACCATCAATATACAGCGTGTATAGAAAAGAATCACAGAAAAGTGAGTAGATATATCTCTACTCGCTTTGCACATCTAGACTTTGCAATATTTGTCCACTCTTCTTTGCAGAACTGCTCAAGTTCAGTTAAAATTGATGATGACTGTTTGTGGACTGCAGTCTTCAAGTCATTCCACAGATTTTTAATGGGGTTTAAGTCTGGGCTCTGACTAGGGTTCAGAGTTACTGTAGGCCTCTTGGTAGCCTCTCTGACCAGTTTCCACCTGGCTCTTTCATCCAGTTTGGAGCGACGTCCTGATCCAGGGAGGGTGTGTGTTGTACCAAATACCTTCCACTTCATAATAATAGACTTCACTGTGCTTCTAGGCATTGATAAAGCCTTTGACTTTTTACTGTATGCATCTTCTGACTTGTGCCTTTCCACAGCTTTATCCCGGAGATCTTTTGACAGTGTCTTGCCACCCATAGTTGATTGTTTGCTTCAGTTGCACTACCAAGGACTGAAATGCTCCAGGAAAGCTCTTTTCATGCTGAGCTCATCCAAATGACCACAGCTGATCACAGTTCAAAGTCAAATGGCTTTGTGTGCCATTGAGAAGGTGATTAGCTACACCTGATTGAGTTTACAAGTCATTTTTAGGAGGGGGGTGATTATTTTTCCAACTCTGTGATTCTTTTTTTTTTTTTTCTTTTTTTTTCTGACATGTTGGTGTTATATCTTTGACTTGGATGTTATATGTTGCACTGAGTAAATACAGCTGGATAAAACTGCAAAAGGCTGCAAAGCGACAAAATGTGATTATTTTAAAAGGGGGGTGATTCTTTTCTATACCCACTGTACAATAAGGTCTGGGTACATACAAAATGAGCACATAGTGGGACAACAGAGCTACATGAAATTGAAAGGAAATGACTGGCACATTTAGAAGGAAATTACCTTAAAAATGAGAAAATAATAGCTGGATGAAGCTCAGCGTTGACTCACTGTTTCTCTCCGAGGGAAGGTGAAACTTGTGAAAGAAAGAGGTTTATTTTGAGGAAATGTTTTGTTAGAGCACAGAAACTATTGCATGATTTAGGAGGAGTTTCCAAATGTTTTAACCTTAAGTTTAAGTGTGTAATTTAGTATATTTAGTATATT